GTGACTTTAATAACATTTCTTACTTAATGGAAACACTGCAGTTGTGAAACTGTTTTTTCAACATTAACAGAATATTGACAAAATTTTGCGCATATTTGTAATGGAAACACAGCTAGTGACTGATAATCCAGTATTTTATCGAGTACATCTTCAGCTCCTCAGCCTAAAAATGTGATTATATTTGTTGCAGAAAGTGAAACCTGAGCTGGGATGCTTGTTGTGTGAAATAACTTCCACTCACACTCCTCTCATTATAAGGATCTTAAATCTGAATTTGTACTTGTAATAATGTGATTGTGGAGGTCTTTAATTAAAATTTGATAAACAAAAATGTTATTCTTGGTGTCTATAACAGTAATTAGGAGATTTTTTTTATTATTATTAATGCCAAACGTGCCAATGTGAGCTTGTGAACAGGCAGGGCTGAGAGGACAGTGTGACCAGCAGCGTGCACGTCACTGTGCACACAAACAGTAATATGTGTTTTTTGTTTAAAACTCAGCTGAGTCTAATGTTAAGTGCACATCAGTCTCTGGTGGCCCTTCACCTTTAAAAGCTGAAACTAAAGTAAAAGATTTTCTTTTGTAAACTCTTTGTTTTACATCGGTACACACAAGTTTCTAATCAGCGTATGAAAGAGTGATGTCATGGCTCCCATTGTTCAACAAGTGCTACCATGTGTGTGTCCCCTGGCTGCTGCGGTCTGCAACCAGTCCCCTCACACATGCACACAGCACCCCTCCACTTCCTCCTCACACAGCTATTTTCTACTTCTAGTTTCTCCAGATCTCTTTCTTCCTCATGCTCACCTCTGAGCTGTTCAGCATCTACAGCCTCTGAAAGTGTACTCGTCAAACTAAAGGAGTGCAAACACACACACCTGCTGGTTTTTATGTCGGCAGCAGTATGAACCTGTGAAGCTTGTTCTTTAGTTCTCTGTACACAAAACACTCGCTGAATTCAAAGACATTTTTCTCTCAGTTGATTCAGTAATTAAAGTTTTTTCTAAGTGAGTAAGTAATGGTTATCATGTGTTGTCCCAAAAAGAAAAAATCAGTAGGTCCTCTGGATGGTTCTTCTTTAGTGAAACGTTTCGTCTCTCCTCCAAGAGACTTCTTCAGTCTGATGAGTTTCAGGTGAACTCAGCCTTATTAGCTCCGCCTCCACATGGACAAACAGGTTAGTCACATGAAAAAGAGGGCCATCGACTAACAACAGGCTTGATTAGCTCTATTGTTCATGGAGGGTCATGTGTCCCATCACCTGACTTATTGGTTTGGATGCTYCAGCTGYGGTTATTTGGGTTACGTGTGTTGTCTTCTTGTAAAACCTGCTGTTTTGTACTCTGAACATTTTTCTCTTTTGTCAACAACTGTGGTTCAAGAGACCAACTACAGTGGTTTGCAAAAGTATTCATACCCCTTGAACTTTTCCATATTTTGTCACATTACAACCACAAACATAAATATATTTCACTGGAATTTAATG